ATATTTAAGTGATATATACACTAATAACATCATTTATTTCCTCCTTATTCATAAAAACTTGCTATTCCACTTAATCCAATTTCTAATTAAACTGGTTCAAGATTTTCTCTAATTTATAATCCTTAATATTATCTATTCTTATAAAAATCTAAAGTTTGTAATATTTTATCTAATGCTATCATTTGATTTTCATTATTTTAAGCTAATAGAGCAGTGCATTCTTCTTATTTATTTATTTATTCTGAATAATTTTATTGTCTTCTTAATGTTATTCTTATTCAAGTAAACTTAAATCACTTTAGACTAAATATCTAACAACTGAAAATGCTTAAAGTAATTAAAAGGGAGTGATAATCAATTTATAATATTTTTTGGTATCAATAATAGAATTTCTATAGGAACTAATCATATATAGGCTTCAATTTCAGGAAAGTTTTCAAGTTTAGCTTCATTGAGTCTGTTCATTGAAAATGTAAAGTATTTTTTTGATTATTTTTAAAAATCTATTTGCATACTTTATATGCATTTTAGTATATTTAGCAGTAGAGTTATTATTAGAATACCAAAACATTTACATTCAGATGCTTATGTTGTTCCTTTGATTATTAATGGCATCTAATTAATTGATAATATTTAATGTTAACATGTATTAGGATCTATGATATATCATTTTTCTATTTTTCCATATTCAAAATGTAAAATTAATCTTTATAACAATTCACTATCTTCAGATCCTATAAATATTAATTATTTTTATAATTCAGCTGCATGATAACCACAAGCAATATGTTATCTTTGTTATTGATTCAATTACTTTTAGAATTAAAGAAATATTTGTTTACTTTCATCAATCCAAATGTGATCATATTTTTAATCAAATAAAACCCAAGATGATTATTCAATTGATTCTATAGATTTAATTAATGCAGCTGAATCGTATTCTAAATAAGGTAATACATACATACATAATATTATCTGATTGAGATTCTATTATTTATTTAGTTATCTCAACACAGTTTAAGATTCCTGTAATTAATTACTAGGAAATTAGATCACAATCTTCTCAAAATTCTCTAAATTTAAGTTGTAAATTCTATACATAAATATATAATTAAACATATATAAATTTTAAATAATATTTAATTGAGTAATTAATTTAAAGATGATTTAGATCTAATAATTGATTATGAATATAAAGATATATATATATAAATTAATTATTTCACTGCTATTTATCTGGAGTGTGATTAAATTTCTAAGAATGTATTGATGGGTATCCAAGAAAAATTAATTTTAACGAGTAAACATTTTGCCAATTTATATAAATAGAAATTAATAAATTTATGAGTTAGTGAATATAATTTTTATCTAAAAATCAATTTAGTTCATTAATAAATAGAAAAGCCATTTCTTTAATATACAAGTCGTCTCTCACCTTTGTAAGGTATTTTAATTCAGCACAAGATTTTATATAAGCTGTTATTAACACTCTTAATAATATGGTGTCCAAATCCAAATAGAATTAAAAAAATATTTTAGAATATTAGATTTTGTTAATTCTCTGTGAATTTGATCAACCATCATTTATTCATCCTCTTATGAAATTTCAAAACTTGTAAGCTCTTTAATTTATTCAAATTAATTTCTTATAATATTTAATGTATTATCTGTCAATAATGATTTAATCATGTTCTTCCAAAAGATTTCTTAATTTTCACACATTTTGTTATAATCATTTTTTAAGGTATTCTACTTTATAGTTTCAACAATTATTGATTTTAATCCTAAAATCACATTCTCTTTAAGAAAACCTTCATAACGTTTAAAACGATGTAAAATTGTAGAAAATATTTCTGATATCCCTCATTCCTTTTTTTTCCAATATTGATTTATTTTTGAAATTCTCTATAATAATCGTGAAAATTTTAATAGCATTTATATATTTAATATAATTGCCTTATCCAATTTAATGCTTAATAAATGTCCTTTTGCTGATATAGAATGTGTGAAATGTATTAATTCAAATATTAAATGTATCTAAACTTATGAAAATTTGTTTCAAAGACTTTAATTATTTATATCATTATTTGTTTCTGGGAGCAAAAAATCCCATTGCTTCCACTTTATAAAGCTTCTGTTCATCAACGAAAAAATTAAATCATGATTTAAATAATTCCTCATTATCAAATTACCAATCGTCATATATTTTAGAGAATGATAAAGATTAATAAAATTTTATATAAATTAAATATTGTTTATAAAGCATTATATAGATTTATGCAAATGAAATTCTAATAATTTTTATGATAATCAAATTTTTATGAAAGCATCAATCTTCTTAATTTCTAATCCTCTTACTAAGTCTTTCTATTCAATTACTGTAAAGCGCGACAAACATTAAGACATATCTATATAAACCCCCTCTGTATTGTTATTTAAACCTTATAATATCCTTTTAAGTTCCTCTTTGTTAAATTCACACCTTTTCAAAATCATCTTAAATTACTTTAAATTATTAAAAGGATATTCATTAAAGTTTAATATAATATTTTCACAAGTAATATCCAGAATATTCAATGCTTTACTTCTTAAATTCTAAGAAAATTCAAAAGTCTGAATTTCTGCATTATTGAAAATAGATGCCTTGAAAACTTTCAATTAATCGAACTTTTCAAAGAGTTTATGACAACTTTTTAAATTAAGATTACCAGAAACTTCAAAATAAAACTACTCAAAATTGTACATATCTAACTTTAAAAAATTTTCATCTATTATCAAGGTTTTTTATTAAGCTACTACAGATTTATTTTTGTATTATTGTATAATTTAAAAATATGAATAAGAAAAGGCTGTTAGAATATTATTTCTTTCTACACAGACTTGCATTTATTGTACATTACTAGATTCTACTTGGATTAATAAGAATTATAAATTTTTTGGGCAATATTTAATAAATTCATTAATGAAAGGAATATGTTCAGGATTTACTTCATCCAAATAATAATTCAATTTTATTTAATACAATGGACTCACTTTTAAACATCTTATTAAATCATTTAGTTCAGCTCCAATACAAAACAATCTTTATGCTTAATCAATTTCTAAAATAGTATTTATTGAAGCTAGAACATACCTAAACTATGCTAATAACTTCTATTTTATTAAATCTCCATAATTAGTAAAATTTAAGGTTTTCACATTAATTTTAAAAGTAAATTTATCTTTTAAGAATTGTTATTTTAATCTTGACAAAATTTAAAAAGATTTAGGATATTCCAATAATATTTAATTTGATATTGAGCTCAAATACAACATAGATTAAAAAAATCAATCCACTGAAACTGTACTTAAAATTAAAGCTGGAATAAAATAGTCTTTAATAAGAACTTCTAATAAATCTTTTACTGCAAATATACCTTCTTTTATTTGTTGACCAAAAGAAAATACCCAAATACCATCAAATTGGGTATATGCTAAAGATAAAATATATACAAAAAATTAAGGAATTTTATTCAAAGCTTCTTCAACATTTGTTCTCCACATTACAGCCTCATAAAATGGCTAATCTTTTATTTATTTAATATCATTAGGATAAGTTTAAACTTTTTCATTCTTAAATACTGAAGTAGCTATACAACCTGAAAATTTGAGGCATAACTCTTGAACTTTAAGTATCCTTAACCACTAAACGTTTTATTTACATCTTCAGAGAATTTCTTTACTGCTAAAAATAAACAAATCATAACGATATCCCAAATCTTTAAAAAGTTAAATATTGCAAATAAAAGAATATAAGACAGTTATATTAAAGGTGAAATTTTTTAAAAACACGCTATTAAAATACTGCAAATGATAACATCTATAATATTGGATTGATTGAAGTTAAGGCTATTAATGCAGATATAAACATATTAGATTCATTATTCAAATAAATTAAAGAAACAATTTATAAGGACCCATTCAGCACCGACCAAAAAGTTTGAATAGTTGCTTAATATTAATTCAATTTGCTCCAAACTTCAAAATAATCGTACAATTTTAACAAAAATTAAATATTTCCAACTGATTATGTGTATAGATCTCTTTTCGTTATACTGTCAATTTAATTTTTTGCATCAATAATTATTTATTCATGTGTTTCTATTTATACTAATAAACTTTGTTAATTATCATCAATTATTTATAATTAATTAACAATCAGATCACTTAAAAAAAAGAGAAAAGTTTTTTTATCATTAACAATCAGACCACTAATTGATATATAGAGGTTTAATGATCTTCTTAGATCGTTTGGAATCAGTGCTTAATATTCTGCAGAAAGTTAAATGTAATCATCTTTTATATATTAATTCTGTTGTACTGCTTACCATCCAGTATTTATTTTAGGATTTTCAATAAATTAGATCTCATTTATTTTCTCATCTGATACATTCGAATAAATAATGTCAACTTGCCATTTAGTATTAAGATTTGAAAGAGTTTATTTTTTAATTTTCAAATTGTTTATACCCTGGAAAATACGATTTATTTATGCTAAGTTATTATCATTAAATTATAAAAGATTGATTGATTCTACTTTAATCAATTAAAAACAATTAGCTAAATATTATAATGTTACTTCATGATATCAATCAATATAATGAAATTCAATATTCTTCACTTTCTTCTATTTCATCAAGAAATATAAAATTTAAATCATACATCTTTTCTTTTAATAAGGACTAAATGCACTAGGATCAATATGAAAATAAAATGATTTGACAAATCCCAAATAATTTAAATCAGATTTAAATAATTGTTTTGTTTCTTAAATAGATTATAATTTGATTTTCTACAAATAAAATAATATTATACTTGTTATCTTTTGATATTGAAGTTATTAGCGCAATTACCTATGGGGAGCATCTTATTAAACAAACACTAATTTAATCCTTTCAAAGTAAAATAGAGAAATAAAAATGATAATAATAGAATATTATTATACATAATACTCAAATATCAGTTTCGATTAAACAATCAAAAGAATATAATACCTAAATATATCATCTCTACTTAATTATCAAATAATGTATTTCAGTGAATAAAAATTAATTCTTTTTCATTTTAATATATCATTTTCAAGATTACTTTTAGCACATTGATTTTAATTTTATTGTTTTAATTCAAAATTCAGTTTCATTATGATCTATAACTTTATCAAATCAAATCATTGTTGAATTAATTTTCTATTTCTATGTAATAGTATTTAATTTTATTATCTACCCAAGTGATTTGAATCNTGATTATGCGTATAGATCTCTTTTCGTTATACTGTCAATTTAATTTTTTGCATCAATAATTATTTATTCATTTGTTTCTATTTATACTAATAAATTTTGTTAATTATCCTCAATTCTTGATAATTAATTAACAATCAGACCACTAATTCCTCTATTGAGGTTTAATGATCTTCTTAGATCGTTTGGAATCAGTGCTTAATACTCTGCAGAAAGTTAAATGTAATCGTCTTTAATAAATTAATTCTTTTGTACTGCTTACCATCCAGTATTTATTTTAGGATTTTCAATAAATTAGATCTCATTTATTTTCTCATCTGATGCATTCGGATCAATTTTGTCAGCTTCCCATTTAGTATTAAGATTTGAGGAAGTTTATTTTTCAATTTTCAAATTGTTTATACCCTGAAAAATACGATTTATTTATGCTAAGTTATTATCATTAAAATATAAAAGATTGATTGATTCTACTTTAATCAATTAAAAACAATTAGCTAAATATTATAATGTTACTTCATGATATAAATCAATATAATGAAATTCAATATTCTTCACTTTCTTCTATTTCATCAAGAAATATAAAATTTAAATCATACATCTTTTCTTTTAATAAGGACTAAATGCACTAGGATCAATATGAAAATAAAATGATTTGACAAATCCCATATAATTTAAATCAGATTTAAATAATTGTTTTGTTTCTTAAATAGAATATAATTTGATTTTTTACAAATAAAATAATATTATACTGGTTATCCTTTGATATTGAAGTTATTAGCGCAATTACCTATGGGGAGCATCTTATTAAATAAACAATAATTTAATCCTTTCAAAGTAAAATAGAGAAATAAAAATGATAATAATAGAATATTATTATACATAATACTCATATATCAGCTTCAATTAAACAATCAAAAGAACATAATACCTATATATATCATCTCTACTTAATTATCAAATATAGTATTTCAGTGAATATAAATTAATTCTTTTTCATTTTAATTTATCATTTTCAAGATTACTTTTTAGCACTTTGGTTTTAATTTTATTGTTTTAATTCAAAATTAAGTTTCATTATGATCTATAACTTTATCAAATCAAATCATTGTTGAATTAATTTACTATTTCTACGTAATAGTATTTAATTTTTATTCTATATACCCATTTTTATTATATACCCAAGTGATTTGAATCAAATAATTAATCATTTTGATGAATAAAACAAATTAAAAATGACATTAGCAGACATATATGTATAGAAAACACTAATAATAAAAGGAAGGACTTATCCAATACTATGTATACTAAGATATAAAACTTGAGTAATTTATTATATTCAAGAAAAGCTATCCATGAATATTTTTAGAATGATCCTAATAATCCAAGAGTTATTTGGAGTAATAACAAAGTTATTTTATAATTAAATTTATCAAAATAGCAATAATAATGTCACCAAAAAGTAGGAACAAAAAAAAAGTAAAGAGTTTGAAAATAAAAAAAGAATAATGGATGAAACTTAATAAGAATTTAATGAAATAATTTAATTACCTAAAATATTATAAATTTAAACTCTTTAATTTAATAGTTGTTAATTCAGTTATATATAATTATCTATAAATTGATTAGATTAGAGGAGATAGGAATATTAATAGAATTAATATGAAAAAATAAAAGAATTTTAATCAAATGTAAGAAATTAGCTTTCTATAATATGTTTATATATATATATTTTTTCAAGATATATTATGATGATTAATATATATAAATGTATATTGTATTGATAATCAAATATATAATTAATATATTTTAAATTACTACAATTTTTTGTTCCAAATGACTAAATATTTAAAATCATTTGTAACCACTCCCTTGTATTAACCAGTTGGTTAATTCTAAAAACATGATACTATCTGAAATGATCCATCTTATAATTATTTTACTAAATTAATGTTTTAACCATGATGAAAAATAATTTAGTTAAATTATAAATTATAAATAAATGGAAGTTTAACATCTGACTTTATTTCATTTATTATGCTGCTTTTAGATGTTTAGATAAATACTTGATTTACTTCCTCTAATACAAGAATTTTTTGTTCTTTATATTAAGTCCAAATAAACTAATTATCTTTAATAAAAACTATTTTATTCCCATATTATTAAACTGAATGATTAACAATATTTTTGAATTCCCAGTCATCATAATTATTTTTTTTCCAAACAATAATTTAAGCATCTTTACGACAAGATAATAATGTAGTTTCAGATTAGTTCAAACAAATTGAAGTAACATTATCTCGATTTTTTGTTAAGGATTATTTTAATAGTAAACTTTTCTATTACAAGCTTAAGTAATGTACGATAATTGTTAAATCATCACAACTTGATATCAATTAGTCTTATTTTTGTTTATAATTAAACATCTTACAATTTCCACGTGTTAATTTTCATAAATTGTACTTGTATAATTTATTTAATTCAGATAATTCCATATTTAAAGGCTTCCATCACAATGCCCAGAAATAAAATCATTTGATTGTTAACCAAATAATAATACACTCACACTCCTTTAACAAGGCATTCTCCTAAATGTTTTTATTCTACCTTCTAAGAATAAATAAACTGTAATCATATCATCTACTCCTGTTAACTGTAAAAATCCATTTCTATTAAATGCCATTGAATATATTTCTTATATATCTGCTTAATAGGGTCTTACAATTGATTAACCTGTTAAACTTTCAAGCTTTTATAATTCACTTTAATTATTACTTATTTATTCTCTTTCTATTTTTTTAGAAACCTTATTTATTTTATGTTCATCACCATCTTCTTATCTAGAATCAATTAGAATTTATTTAACATCTTAAACCATAGCTTATCCTTATTTATATAGAAGTAATCGAAATTAGTGGATTTTTTGAAGTTCACATTATTGCTATTCTTAAGAATACATTTCAGCCATTGCCTAAAACTTAACTATACTAAAATCATCAGATTATAAATATATTTGTTAAAAACAGTTTGATCCATCTACAATTTTTTTATTTACAGAATCAATCATATTAGTTAAATTCTTGTATTAAGCATTTCTTAACTATTCCAATTTTGAAAGACTATTTTTATAAAATTCTTGCATATATAACTAAGCATTTTATTATTGTTCTAATTTCTAATATTACTTTGATCCAAAATTTAATGAATTATTCTATATCTAATCCACTTTATTAACACTCTTAACATGAAATTCTTTTACTTTTTGGACCATTCTTTTCGATATTAATAGTTTCTACAATCTTATTATGTTCAAGAAAAAAATTAGCTGAAATTTTTACTTAATTTAATATATATATATATGCTTCTAATTATTTTTTTTATATAATTGAATTATCAATATAAACATTCCAACATTTTTCTTAACTTAATTTAGCTATTTCAATCACTTTATCAGCTAATTTAAAGTTCATTTATTAATCTGCATATTATTTTAATTGTTTATCAATTTTATGGTAATAAGTATACCCTAATTATTAAATTTCATAAGTTATTTTTAATTCACAATCTTTTAACCAATCTTCATCATTCCTTTTTATATTGTCAAATATATTCAGAAAGTCTTTTTCATTTTTATTAATCCATGTCACTGATATTAGGCCTTCCTACCATTTCTAAATATCTTTGATAATTTAATTTAATAGATTATTCAAATTACTCTTTTATTCATCAATATACTATTCAATAGATTAGAATTTTCTTTAAATCTCATTTAAATAGGGATTCAAAACTCTTTCTATCTTTTTAGTATAATTATTAATAACAATTTTTGCTTCTTCCATTTAAATGAAATCTTTAGAACTCCTTAACTCTTTTATAAGACAACTTTTACAAACTAGTCTTTCCTCCATATTTTTTTGAGAATCCATTAGCAAGTAATTTTTTGGAAAACCATGAAAACATTCAGCTTGATTTAATTAAATCATACAAAATATTAAATTTTCAATATTCAATGATTTTATTTATTGATCTAAATATATTATTTAATTAAAATTGAAAAAAATAAATAAACTATATAAGTTTCAGAAACCATATTAGCTGTTCAAGAAGAAGATAATGAGTTATAATAGTTTAATATTTATCGACAAAATTTATTAATTATTAATCCTTTCATCAATATAATAAATCAGTATTTTCACTGAAATATGCTATGTTTATAGTTTGTTTAAATACTAGTTATGATAAATTTCAAAGGAAAACCTTCACTATATAAAATCAATCTTATTCTTATAAAATTTTGTTTTCAATTAACTTTTTGCCCACTTTCCAGAATTATTTGTACTACAAAAGGAATATTGAATTATCAAATTTATAAGAACGAAATGTTTGTCAAAATTTATAAAAGAACCATCTCCATATAAATAAATATTTAACTCCTACTTTTCTTAATTATTTTAACAAAGTTAAAGTTGTATCTTAAACACATTTCAAAGTTTTATATAAAACTAATCTACATCTTAATTAGGTAGAATATTATATTTCAAAATCTATTTTATTTCAAGGGCTTTGAATATTGCATTTTACAATATTGAATTAAGGAATTAGGTTGTTAATCAAAGTTTTGGATCCTGAACTGCATAGATGTAAGTTATTAGATTATGTCTTTTAGAATAAGGACTAAGAAAATAGTAGATAAATTTCATTTTTATAAATTATATTCCAACCCAAAATAATCATATAAATTAACCTTCTAAAAGATTATTTAAATTAATCTAGCCATATTGCTAATAAATGATATGAAGAGACTATTTAATTTACAGCTTAATGTTGTGTCAATTATAAGTATCTAAAAGTAAATTTATATTTTGACACAATTTTTATCGATAGACAATAAGGATATTATTCGATGTTGTAATTAAATACGGAATAATAACAAAGCATTATAACATATTACAAGGTAATAGTTAACTTGAATATTATGCTCATATCTTATAAATGCTAATACCAAATATTTAAATAGTTTTTCATTTCATTCTGATAAATACATCATTTATGAATAAAGAGAGATGAAATAAAAATATTAGAATTCGATATTAAAGGAATCAAAATAAAAAGTTTAAATTTTCATTTTCTTTTAATTTCTCAAGATTAATAACAAAATTTTTGTTCTATGGTAACAAAAAATATTATGGTGATTGTTGAGATGATATTTTAGACAAAAAAATACTAAATGATCTTTATTATTATACAAAAATAATAATTGATGATTAATTGTCACTGAATAAAATTACTACAACAATAACTGTGCTTTTGATTTTCTGTACTTCAAAATACTCTCATCTTAAAGGGGCTACATCTAGCCACACATATCCAGGACATTATATACTAAAGAGAGTATATTGGATCTTGAATTTAATAAGTGAGAGCATATTGTAATTATTAGAGCCTTAAAATTCCATGATTAATTGATAAGAAAAATTAAATAAAAAGGATTTGACATTTATATGATTTACTTTTGTTCCATATTTATTGAATTTTAAAATTAACGAAAATAGAAATGATAATAATCAAACTTAAAGGGGGATGAAGAAATATGCATATAGTAATTGTAAATGTTTAAGAATAGAAATAATAACATTATTTAAATATTTATGACTAATTTTATCGAAACTCTTTAAACTTAAAATGTACATTTAAATATTAAACTGAAAAATCCTTAGTATATATGTTAACAACTAATTCACTTAATATTTTCTTTTGATTAATACAATAATTTAGGATAATTAGCAATTTTTTTAGAAGATTTGCTATTCAATTCAATAAAATTTTATTTAGAATATAGATTAAATGAGGGAAATGAAAAAAAGAAAGTAAATCAATCTATTTTGGATGAAATTTTATTATATTTAATCTAATGAAACTCACAAGGTTTTGATTACACTTATATTTAAACGATAAAATATAAAATAACATTATTATTCGTTACCCCTTTTATTTTTTGAAAATTTAATGATTTAAATAAAAATATTGATAATATATATTTATTTATAATGTATGGTAAATTTTGCATTTAAGAAAGAATATTAGTCTAGGTAATTGTGATGCAGATTGGGTAAAATAACTGAAATTCATTCAAATGCAGACCAATTTAAATGAAATTTTTCATATGTTATAAACATTATTTATGTATAAAAAGGCAATTTTTATTATCCAAAATGTTAGGAAGATTATATGATATTTTATGCTTTGATACTTATTTTGATTATTATCATTATATTTTTTTTTAATTCTATTTTACATATAAATCTATAGATATTTACGTGCTGCTACATTGAATTACTTTATTAATTTGCCAATAAATTGTTTTTTTGTATTTTTAGCCCTTAAATTTTAAAATAAAATGAATTTTATATCTAATTATAATTTTATTTATTATAATTTTCACATACTTCTATTTCCAAAAGCATTAGATAAAATTTCAAATATTCTTACTAATGGTTATAACATCAGACCATTAAGCAACAAAGATCCAATCAAGTAATCATTTGTATACAAATTAAATCTCTTAATATATTTAATAAATTTTTACTCCTTAGCTCATCATTAATCTTGTTTCCAATATCAAATAAAATCCATAAATTAAAATGACTACTAAACTTAAAAATTTAGCCCATAAAGGGTAATAATGAAATGTAAATATCCAAATAATAAATAAGGTTAAGGATATTCCAAGAATTACAATGGCACCAACTATAAAATATGGAATAATTTTAACCTTGCCAAGAAATCTCTCTTTTTTATAAAAATGCTAAGATTGTAAATACCCCTATTATTAGAAAAGTACCTCCCCAAGTTATCCAAACAGCTATTGGTAATAATCTCAATGCCCAAAAAATGTTTATTGTTGTAAATGTAAATCCAAAGAAAACTATTTACAAAATTAACACTATGTAATTTACAGGAGCCTATTGTTTAATTTTATTACCTTACATTTCTTACTAAATTTCCTTTGAAGTATAGCATAAATTACAATATTAATGAAATAAATAAAGAAACATAGAATAACCATGATGGCTCAACACCATAAAAGCAATATTAATAATTTTCTTCATCGTAATAACATATTTCATAAAGTCTGAGTAGCCAAAATATCATATCTGTGTAAATTCCTAAAGCTATCATTACCAGATTAAAAAGAAACTCGAAAAATAAAAAACAATATAAGTTCTTGAAAAATTAAACTCTTATTTACTGATCCTAAAATACCCCTTAATCTAAGAATATATTAAGTTAAATACTTTAAAATTAATTCATTTTCTAAGTTTATCCATTTTATGTTTCGAATGACTATGGGTTTATGTATTATTATTAATCATTCTAATTTAACAAATAATTGTTGATGTTATTGTTCATTAAAATGAAGATAATTATAATATTAAGTCATTTCATTTGGTATAAAGGTCTTAAATCATAAAATATAGATTATTAAAACCATTCTATATTTTTTTAAACTATATTATTTACGTCATAAATTTATTATTACTGAAATAAGTAGCAAATATGACAAGGAAATAATTCTGTTTAGATATTAATATAGGTAACTAGAATTCTGTATGTTGGCATATATAGACTGTATAGAAGAGAATCCTAATCAAAATATAAGGTTAAAAGAAGTAATAGAAAATAATATATGCTATACAAAAAAATTTAGAATATCGATTATATTCAATTCAATTCAAACTTATCTAATTAAATGTTAGGTAAGCATATTAATGTCTATATTTACTTGTGATTTTATGATTATTAAAAGCTCTTAAGTTAAATATCAAAATTCCAATTTTAATTATATAATCCAAAAAGAAATTCTTGCTATTTCAACTCCTTGCCTAAAATTCATATATAATCTTCCAACAACTAAATTATATTAGTTTAAAAACTTAGATCATTCCTACCAACAAATACATTAACAATTCGATAGGAGAATAAGTTTTGCAGGCTTCAGTGATTTCGGCCTAATTGTTAAATCTCTTAAATTAGCTCTAGGACAACACATTGCTTTTTGGTTAACAATAATCCTTAAAAAATCTATGATTGTAACATGAGTCTATAGAGTGATATAATGATGCATTATAATACTGAATTAGGATTGGTATCAATTTAATATTAATATCTCTAAAAAAATTATACAAAAACATAAGTTAATTATGATTGATTAATAAATTGGAATTCATAATGAAAATGATAATTTTTATTTCAGATGGCTGTTTTTATAAAATTTAAAGATGGAAATGAATTAATATTATGATCCTGAATATAATATCTGATTGATAATGAATTAGTTAATTACAAAAATCATCTAGAATTTAAAATGAAAACACTATTTACTCTATTATTCAATATGCAAACATATCCTAACAAGAACGTTTCATGAAAAATAGTTAAAAAATAATTATAATATTACAATTTACAATAAATTATATTTTGTTTTCTTTATACAGATACTCTTAAATTTACTATATGCTGCAAAATAGATTAATATACATGTTTATAATAAATTTTATATACTTTCTACATGATCTCATTTAAGTTAAACCGCACATGCTCAGAAAAAGATAATTAAAATTCTCGAATTTCTGAATGTGTTTTTGTGAGAAATATTTATAAAGTCAAGTTAATGAATGTTATTTTCTTTTTAGTATATCCAATTCTTTGTAATTTTACAAGTAGTATTGCATCCACCATTATTCTGCAGATTTACATCATCACATTTTCTAATGTTTAATGAAGTTTCCCATCATAAATACATTATATATCCATAAAGCATATTCATTTTTAATTACTTAACTGAAGGCTTAATGCTCACATTTTCTGTCTTCTCAAGTATTAATCTATAAATTATATCCAAATTAATCACTAGACTA